CAATTAGGAAATACGGGGATTAAAAAGGGTCACCAAATAGGCAATAAGATTTAAATAGGCAACTAAATAGGCAATAAGATTTAAATAGAACACCAAATAGACAATGAGATTTAAATAAGCTAAAAAAGTAGGCAAGGAGATTTAAATGTGGCTAGTAAATAGAAAATACGAAGATGTAAAAAGGGGAATAATAAATAGGTAATAATGAAGATTAAAATAGCGTTACTAGACAGGTAATAATAAGATTCAAATAATACGATTTAATATGGTTATTAAATAGGCAATAATAAAGATTTAATATGGCTATTAAATAGGCATTAATAAAAATTTAAATGGGGCTATTAAATAGGTAATAATACGATTTAATTTGGCTGCTAAATAGGCAATAATAAAGATTTAAATGGGGCTATTAAATTGGCAATAATAAGACTGAAATTAGGATATTAAATAGGCAATCAAAAGATTTTAATGGAGCTATTAAATAGGAAATAATAAGATTGAAATTAGGATATTAAATAGCCAATTAAAAGATTTGAAGGGGGCAATTTAATAGGCCTTTATAATATTTAGATGGAGCTATTGAATAGGCAATAATAAGATTTAAATTGGGCTATTAAATAGCCCATCAGAGTATTTAAATGGGGCTACTATATAGGCAATTAAACTATTTTAAAAAAGGCTAGTAAATAAATAATACAAAGTTTAAAATGGCCTTTAAATACGAGATAAACGGATTTCAAAGGCGGCGCTATAAAAGAAATGGCAATAAAATAATATGTCGACATATAGGCTATTTGATCAGCTATGAACACAAGGAAAAGCTATCTCTAATTGAAGGCAACGATTGAAAAAAAAATTGCCTGTATATCTAACCTTCCTTTATTTGTGCATCTTTAAAGTTTATATCACAAGCAATTAATAAACCAACACACCTTCGTTAGCTAAAAAAATGTTTCTTTTAGTGTCTTCAGCACGTCATGGTTGATTAAAAAACGATGAGGCGTGTCATGACGTAGTGTTTGCTTAAACTGGGTGTAAGGATGGTGGCGGTAGGGACGACCACAAAAACGCTGGGTACAACCTAGCCCTACAAGTTTTAAAAAAAAAACTACGGGATGATATTTATAGATTCGTTTTCATTTTATATAATTCATTTATTAAAAGTTTCTTAATATGAAGCATTTAGGAGATTAAGTCTTACTATCAACAAATTTAACCATTGAAGTAGGATTATGTTAGTTAAATAATGAAACCATCTATTTAAACGATTTAATTATTTCAAAATTTTAAAACTTAAACTGTGAGTACAGGCGTGATTTTTAATTAAAATCATTCATCAAATTAAATTAATTTTATAAAATATTTCATTATTTTTATACTGAACAGAGTTAGTTTCTAAGTAAAAACTAAGTAGCTATCTTGATTGTTCATAGTTTTCAGTTTCTGCTTTTTGAAAGCATAATTTGAGGCTGTCATTAATTTAATGTAAGTAGTCCTTACGACCTGGATTATTAAGTTGTAAGTATATTTTTGTATTAATCTATCCTCTTCCATTGATATTATTTGGTAATTATATTGTTAAAAATAAAATTTTTGTACTAATTTAGGTGGATTTTATTTTTTTAAATTAGTGAAAAATCGTAAATAAATAACGACTGATTAAAGGTTGATTAGTATCTAATTAGTCGCTGGATATTAATTAATTAGAAGCTGGTAAAATACTGGTTAGTGGATGAATATTGGCTAATGACTGGTTAGTTCATTAGTACTGGTTAGTGAGTGGATAGTGGATTAGTACTGGTTAGTGACTGGTTACTGGATTAGTACTGGTTAGTAACTGATTAGTGGATAAGTATTGGTTAGTGAGTGGTTTTTGGATTCAGGGGCGTAGCGAGGGGGGGGGGGGGCGGGGGGTGCGGATCGCACCGGGTGACACCATTTAGGGGGGTGACACCAAGGCAAAAAATAGTAAATATATAGAGAAAAACTCGAGGGGGGGTGCAAATCGAAAACTCGAGGGGAGGGGGGTGCAAATCGAAAGTTTGAGGGGGGGGGGGGTGCAAATCGAAAACTCGAGGGGGGGGTGCAAATCGAAAGTTTGAGGGAGGGGTGCAAATCGAAAATTTGAAAGTTTGTCCCTGGGAAGGGTCTCTATGCCTCTGGGGGGGGGGGGGGGGGGTGACACCATTAAGTGCCGCACCGGGTGACACCCGACCTCGCTACGCCACTGTTTGGATTAGTACTGGTTATAACTGGTTATCGGATTAGTACTGGTTAGTGACTGGTTAGTAGATTAGTACTGGTTCATAGATAAGTACTGGTTAGTGACTGAATGGTGGATTTGTACTTTTAAGTGTCTAAACAGTGACCTCTTTCTGGTGTTTAATTATTGATTTGTTAATTTCTAATTAGTGTCTAATTAATGCTTAGCCATTGACTGATAATGTTGTATTACTGTCAACTGTTCCAACTCAGAGCGTCGAGTTTAACAACAGCCAAGATGTCCAGATACCACCAAACCCTGATCTCACTTCTGCTCGTGTGTGTCTGCCTATCGTCTGCTAGAGCACAGGATGACCGGTCTTTCATTGTAAACGGTATTGGTGGCTAAATTTTTTATTGAAAATTAATGTTGTTTTATTTAGTAATCAAATATATTTTAAATTTTTCAATTTCTAATCAAATTCGTATTATATTCCAAAATGAACAGAAGCATTTATAGGGAAAAAAGCAATAAAAATGCTAGTAAACCTCCTAAATATTTCCCAATAAATTTTCCAGTAAACTCCAAGAAGAACATTTTTTTTTAATTAAGAATTAATAGTAAAACTTCCTTTAAAAATTCCTACAGAAATTCCAAGTAAATTCTCATCTCATCTCATCTCTAGCTAAATAAATAAACTTTTAGTTGAATAACTAGAAAATGGGACGGCGTGGTCAATCTGTAGAGCGCCAGACTACTAACCCGAAACGCTCGAGTTTGAATCCAGGTTCAAGTCAGCAGAACGTTCCTGAGTCCACCCTGATTCGTGACTAAGTGATTGGTAAATAACTCAGGTTAGGGAATGTAATCCCGGCTGGGCATAGTGCTCACCACACTATCCCTTCAATTGCCACGTTCACAGAAAAAGGAGAACTCTGCTACATTTGCCCCACGGACCGTCATGTTCAAAAAGGGAATTTTTCTTAACTAGAAAACATCCAAGATAATAAACCATGAAGTAAAGTATTAATAAAATTATAAGATATTTTGCAAATATCCTAAGTTAATTATATTCTGTCATGGTCGCAAACGATCGCAGAAGCATTTAAGTATCTTTAAAACGGCCTTATGGTCTGTCGGCCTTATGTCCTGTCGGCCTTTTGTCTTGTCGGCCTTTTGGGTGTCGGCCTTTTGTCCTACACCCCAAGATATTTGAACTATTAAAAATGTACTGGATAAGGGGGAGGGGGGTTCATGGAAAATAAGAAAAGAGAAAATATCTTTTTCTAATCCATCTTCTTTTCTAAATCTACAATTTAAAATATATTCAAATTTGTTGGTACCCAATTTATCTTAATAATTAAACGATCTTGTGAATATTTTTAGCAAGACATCTTTTTCCAATACATTTCAGTGATTAACGCTTTACGTTTAAGGCGGAAGGGAATTTATATTTATTTTATTAATTTTAGTGCAATTTAATAAAACTGTTTTGATTCGTGTTTTGCTCTTTATTTTAACACGTTGAGTGTTTTGCTTTTTATGTAGATACGTTGTTCTTTATGTGATAGTTGTATTGTAGTTTCTGTAGGTGCATCTTTTGTTACTTTTATTGATACATGTTTTGTGTTTGTTGACAGATCTGATTTTTTGCTTAACTTAATTGGTGTTTTGATGTTTCTTGTAATATATGTTGTGTTGTATCTCATGTAGATACTATATGCTAAAGCACCATAGACTTGGTGTTGTGTTACTGATGTAGATACATGTTGTGTTGTGATGTATGTTGTGTTGTTTCTGATGTAGATACATGTTGTGTTGTTGATGTATGTTGATTTGTTTCTGATGTATATGCATGTTGTGTTGTTGATGTATGTTGTGTTGTTTCTGATGTAGATGTATGTTGTGTTGTTGATGTATGTTGTGTTGTTTCTGATGTAGATGCATGTTGTGTTGTTGATGTATGTTGTGTTTAACCTGATGTAGATACATGTTGTTTGTGATGTAGATGCATGTTGTGTTGTTTCTGATGTAGATGCATGTTGTGTTGTTTCTGATGTAGATACATGTTGTGTTGGTGATGCAGATGCACGTTATGTTTTTTTATGTAGATGCATGTTGTGTTGTTTCCGATGTAGATGCATGCTGTGTTGTTGATGTAAATGCATGTTGTGTTGTTGATGTAAATGCATGTTGTGTTGTTAATGTAGATGCATGTTGTGTTGTTGATGTTAATGCATGTTGTGTTGTTAATGTAGATGCATGTTGTGTTGTTGATGTTAATGCATGTTGTGTTGTTTCTGATGTAGATGCATGTTGTGTAGTTGATGTACATGCATGTTGTGTTGTTTCTGATGTACATGCATGTTTTCTTGTTTCTGATGTAGATGCATGTTGTGTTGTTTCTGATGTAGATGCATGTTCTGTTGTTGATGTAGATTCATGTTCTGTAGTTGATGTACATGCATGTTGTGTTGTTTCTAATGTAGATACGATATGAAATAGCACCCTAGACCTGGTGTTGTGTTGTTGATGTACATGCATGTTGTGTTGTTTCTGATTTAGATGCATGTTGTGTTGTTGATGTAGATGTATGTTGTGTTGTTCCTGATGTAGATACAATCTGCAAGAGCACCCTAGACCTGGTGTTGTGTTGTTGATGTAGATTCATGTTGTATTGTTTCTGATGTAGATACCATATGCAAGAGCACCCTAGACCTGGTGTTGTGTTGTTGATGTAGATTCATGTTGTATTGTTTCTGATGTAGCTACCATATGCAAGAGCACCTTAGACCTGGTGTTGTGTAGTTAATGTAAATGCATGTTGTATTGTTTCTGATGTACATGCATGTTGTATTGTTTCTGCTATAGATACCATATGCAAGAGCACCTTAGACCTGGTGTTTGTCATCGACGGCTCCAACAGCCTGGGTCCAACAAACTTCAACACGATCAAATGGACGGTGGCACAGGGTGAGTATCCTGTCGTGCATGATATATTAGTGTGTGCACGGATTTAAGTTCACAAGTCCGATTCATCTTTGGTGTACCCTAAGTTTATTTTATGTGGGTACCCAATCGTGCATGATATATTAATGTGTGCACGGATTTAAGCTCTCAAGTCCGATTCATCTTTGGTGTACCCTAAGTTTATTTTTTGTGAGTACCATATCGTGAATGATATGCAGCGTAGGCACGGTTTCCCGTGAGAAAGATCCCAAGATAATTCTATTTGAGTACCTTATAGTGTATGATATATTAGTGTGTGCACGGATTTAAGTGCAACTCAACTTTGGTAATTCCTTACTTAATTTTGGGTGAGTACCTTTATAGTGCATGATGTATAAATGTGCGCCTAGTATATGCTAGAACTAACACACTTTTAGTAGATCGTGCCTGGCTTGCGCAAAATCCAAATTTATTTTAGTAGATCGTGAGTTAATTCACGGCTTCACGTGAATAAAGTCCAACTAAACTTTTGTAGATCCTAAGTTAGTTTTATGTGAGTACCTTGTATTGCATGATGTATAAGTGTGTGCCTGGTTTTGTGAGCGAAGGATCCAACTCACATTTTGTCTATGTTATGTTGTGTATGGAATCCTGCGGTACTGGTTAAGTAACCATACAACTACATAATAAATGATAATCTCTAAAGATATATGTGATTGTAATTCTCTTCTCAAGACCTAACCCAGTTCACGATGTAAACTCACCTGAGTGTGTCATGTGATTTACAGGTACGACAGGTAACTAATAATAGATTTTTTTTATTTCCACAGCCATCGGGCAGTTGTCGTTTGGTGTGAACGAAACGCGGGTTGGCGTGGTACTCTATAGTACCCATGTCGCTGATGTTATTCCATTGCAGACGAACTTGACCTATCTCCAGCAAGGTACGTAACTCTAGATGATAATATTCGTGGTTATTGTTCTTGGGTTTCTTAAAATAAAATGTTATGTTTTACAGGTAAATTTTCTCGATCGTAGTTTATCAAAATTCTTATTAGTAATTTTTATTGAATTTGACCAAAATAGTCTACCGTACAAATCTTCCTGGTAATTTTCATTAATTTTTTTTCTCTTCAAAGCAGACTTGTGTGAAGGATAATTTTTCAATCGGTATCGGTGTATAGGGATTCGGTTTAAGTTTAAGCGAATATAGATATTCTATAAAATTTACATCTATAATTATTTTTATTTCGTCTCGGTGTGTGGGTGTTGGAGTTATTTTTGGCCTGTATGACCCAATTGTCGCCCACTTCTACTTTTTAGCTCACCACGATATCAATTAGTCTTGCTGGTCTCAGTGCTCATGCTACATACAGAAGGCTAGGGTCTATTTTTGTTTTCAGCCATCCTAAGCTTGGACTACCCTGACGAGGCCACCGCGACTAACCTTGGCATTGTAGAGGCCACGAGACTGCTCACTGAGGGGTCAAGGCCGGACGTCCCGAGGGTCATGATGATCATCACGGACGGGTCGTCATCTTACCCGTGAGTGTAGCGACCGTGTACATGCTTATCAGATATACCCGTTATGGTTTTGTCGTAGTTACCGCGCTAATATCATATCATTAAATTATTCAACTTAAGAATACCCTAAGTCTAAACCTACAAAGTAAACATATTACATGTCAAAAGAAGATTCAAGTACACACGCACATAAATACACATATAGCCTATATATATATATATATATATATATATATATATATATATATATATATATATATATATAATTATTTATTTACTTATTTACTTATAAAAATACATACAAATATATAATTTATGTGTGTGTATGTCTATATATACTGTATAATGTATAAGTAAAATTCCCTTTCAAACTGACGGTCTATAGGCAAGTGAAATAGAGTTCACGTGTTTCTGTCACCTTGGCTTGTGAAGAGATAGTGTGGTCAGCACTATGACCAACCCCCTTTACTTTCCCAAACGTGAGTTAGGTACCCATCAGAACTGCCCTGTGTATTATGTATACCCTACTATATAAATGACTACTGTTCTAGAGAAGAGACCGAGTACGTGGCCTTAGTTGCCCAAAGTCAAGGCATCGCAATCTGGGGTGTAGGAGTAACAGCGATTGCTAACATTGCGGAGCTGTCGAAGTTAACCACATACGGCACTAAAAATGTAAGTAATCTCAGAAATAAATTCTTTTAGCATTATTTCAGTCAATCTTGTATTCAACGACCGCCTTCAAGTTGATAAATCTAAGTGTTGATAAAAGTTTTTTATAAATATTTGTTTCCACTTTATTCATTTTTCCAGACTTTGGCCATAGAAAACTTCTCAATATTTTCTGTCCAGCTGACAAATTTGACACGGACAGTGTGTGAACAGACAGGTGAGTTGTTGCTACTGGCCAGTACTGGCCTCACTACAGCCGGCATATAGCTGTTGGTTTAACATTTCTTTGACACGATGTCTTTCATTGAGAAAATAATCACCCTAGTTTAACTGTTATAGAATATTTCATAGTTGAATAGACAAATCAGAATACTGCAAATCAAACAACTAAATAAGAGCATCTGTGCATATCATTTTATTATATATATATATATATATATATATATATATATATATATATATATATATATATATATATATCATTCGCTTAAAAATACCCCTGTTAGAGTATCATTTTGCATCTATAAACTTATTCTGAGTGTTGTTTCTTTCACTATTGAAACTTCATAATTCTCGCACTAAGTACACCGACTCCATTAAACGTAGTTTTTATTGACACGAGAAATGAATCAAAACTCCCACACACTGTGTAGAATAGCGCTTAGAACGTAGTTGATGGAATCCTTACTCAGTGTGACCTCATAATCCCCCACCCCCTCCCAGATTTCTCGTTGTTGCTTGTTGAAATACGGAAATGTGTTTGCACACACGAATTCGCGAGCAAATATTACACTTATGTGTGCTTAATAGACGGGTAAAATTGCTAGTATTTAAGTAAACACTGCCGTATATTATTCCTGTTGTCCTGACTAACTAAACAGGTGATATCACTTTTTATAGCTACGTAAGTTTGACACGAATAATTTACACATGTGGGCAGCATATGGATGAGAAATAATTTTATTATTTGTATTTAATGGGTACTCTAATGTGTAAACTGTAAATGTGTAAAACACATGCAGTTAATTTAAACACTGTAAGATATGTTAAATGATTTTAATTCGTTTATTTAAAAGTAGATATCAACGTAATGATAAACAGAGAGGGTTTTGTTTTGTTTTTGTAAAAATAACCTGTTTATTTTTCAGATGTTCTCTCTACATTTACCATACCATCAACCACAACAACTCCACCGAAGACGACCACTACAACAACTACAACAACAACCACATCTACTACAGCAACCATGCCAATAACTACAACTACATTAACAACTACACCTACTACGACAACTGCGGTAGAAACTACAACGCCAACGACACCAACAATGACATTGACATCAACATCAGCATCAACAACAACCGCGCCAACCACGCCAACAACGACAACAACATCAACGACTACACCAGAAACGACAACGGAAACCACACCAGTACCCAAAACAACCACGCCAACGACGACTACATTTATAACTACAGAGACAACGACAGCAACAACATTAACTACAACAACTCCGCCGAAAACTGAAACGACAACCTTACCAATAACAACCACACCAACAGCAACCACACCAACAACAACCACACCAACAACAACCACACCAACAACAACCACACCAACAAAAACCACACCAACAACAACCACACCAACAACAACCACACCAACAACAACCACACCAATCACGACAACAACCACACCAACCACGACAACAACCACACCAACCACGACAACCACGCCGACTACAACAACACCAACAACAACCACACCAACAACAACCACACCAACAACAACCACACCAACAACAACCACACCAACAGCAACCACACCAACAGCAACCACACCAACCACGACAACCTCACCAACCACAACCACCACGACAACCACACCAACAACAACCACACCAACAACAACCACACCAACAACAACCACACCAACAATCAAACCAACAACAACAACCACACCAACAACAACCACACCAACAACAACCACACCAACCACGACAACAACCACACCAACAACAACCCTACCAACAACAACCACACCAACAACAACCACACCAACAACAACCACACCAACAACAACCACACCAACAGCAACCACACCAACAGCAACCACACCAACAGCAACCACACCAACCACGACAACCTCACCAACCATAACCACCACGACAACCACACCAACCACGACAACCACACCAACAACAACCACACCAACAACGACAACCACACCAACAACAACCACGCCAACAACAATGACGACAACCACACCAGCAACAATAACAACAACAACACCAACAACGACAACTGCTCAAACAAAGACAATGACAACAACAACGACAAACCCACCGACAGCAACAACCACACCAACAACCATGTCAACAACAACTGAGTCAGATACCACCACAACGACGACCTCACCATCGCCGACCACTCCATCAACCACATCAACAACAACCACGCCTATAACTTCAACTACCACACAAACAACTACGCCTGACACAACCACAACAGCAACCACTCCAGCAACCGATACAACAACAACAACGTCTACAACTCCACCAACACCAACCATCACATCAACAGTACCAACTACGATACAGCTAAGTGACAAGCAGTATAATCCCAAGCCACCTAAAGGTATGTTAGAGTTTCTTTTTTACCGTCATTTGAAAGCCTAAAAATCTTCAGGACAAATTTTTAGAAAATACCTATATAGTCATTGTTCATGAATTTTTCATGTAATATTACTCATACCACAACTCTTCTTAATAGAAAACGTATAGTGGACATGTTTTTTAGTATACGAATGTATACGAATGGGGGTTTATTGTGTTGTTAAAATGTGTTGGTTGTTTTATTGGTCAATGTAATATATATATAGCTATTCGAACAAAGGATAGATCAACTGCAGTTTTTTTTGTATTTGAAGATTAGTTGTGATAAAGTTTATATTTAATTACTTTTTTTTTTATTTGAAGATTGGTTGTGATTAAGTTTATTGCTAAAAATTAACTTTACTTTCGAGTTTGAGAGTATAATTATAATTTAAAATTTGAATTATTTAAATTTTTATTAGTTGTGTTTAAGTTTATTGCTAAAATTTTAATTTATTTTTGAGAGTATATTTTTGTTATTTAAAATTTGAGTATGTCTGCTCATTATATTTACACTTACACTTACATTTTGGCGTAGATTTGTGTAAGGATGGTCGAGTTCTTGGCGGTGTGGGCCACGCCCTATATCCAGGAGATTGTACAAAGGTAATCAGTAAATACCTCGAGTAATTGTATACAGGATATAATCTATGACGTCAGGTAATTAAACAGCGTTAAAACTGATATATTAGTTACTTGATTAGTCCTCTTTACTCCTTGTTGAGCATAGGGCCTGGGCCTTAACCTTTCAGCGGTCGCCGGCTGTTGATTTCGCAGCCTCCCAAGACATCCCTGTTGGCTTCAGCTCTTCTATGTCTGTCTTGGGCGCCCTCTCTTCCGCCTTCCCTGGGGGTTCCACTCAAACCCCTAGCGTGTCACATTAGTCAGCCTTTCACAGTGTGTATCCCATCTATCGCCACTTCCTCCTTATTTCTATTGTCATGGACTCCTGAAAACTGACATATACGTAGCTAAATTTTTGTTTAAATTACTAACATGTTTATCATCGTATTTAATATATATATATATATATATATATATATATATATATATATATATATATATATATATATATATATATATATATATATATATATATATATATATATATATATATATATATATATATATATATATATTCACCTATAAGTCATTAGTCTTTTTTTCTTCTCCTTTCTTAATTGGTCATTATTGGTCATTAGTGTTATTACATGTCTTTCCTTACAGGTGATACAGTGCTATTATAATAACGTAACCAACCAAACACTAGCGGTAGTTAGGACCTGTCCATCTGGTCAGTTCTGGGACCAAACGTCCTTGACGTGTGCCTCAAGTTGGAAGGTTACGTGTCCATTTGGTAAATAACCCACGAAAACTTGTCTTTATATCTGATTTAATTAAGCTATGTTTTTAATTACATGAAAAAAATTTATTTAAAAACTACTTTTCTCCCTAATTGGGGACGGAGTGGTCTAGCGGTAGAGAGCTGCACTGCTAAAACTTGTCTTTATATCTGATTTAATTAAGCTATGTTTTTAATTACATGAAAAAAAATTATTTAAAAACTACTTTTCTCCCTAATTGGGGACGGAGTGGTCTAGCGGTAGAGAGCTGCACTGCTAACCCGTAAGTCTTTAGTTCGAATCCGGGTTCAAGTCAGTAGACCGTCCCTGAGTCCACCCAACTCTGATGGGTACCTAACTCACGTTAGGGAAAGTAAAGGCGGTTGGGCATAGTGCTGACCACACTATATCTTCATATGCCGAGGTCACAGAAACAAGTGAACTCAACTTCACTTGCCCCATAGACCGTCAGGTTTGAATGGGAAACTTACTTACTTTTCTCCCTAATTCTTTAAAACGATTTATCTGAAAATGTTCATATGCCTATGTCGTGATAATCCGGACCTTAGTAAGTAATCCTTGTTTACCCATTCAAGACATTTTAAAGATCAACCTCAAATTTCAAAACTAGGTATTGTTAGCATAATTGAATGTCTATAAGTGATTTTTTATGATGTTTTATTGTGGATTAATTACTTTGTTTCTTACAATTTTATTTCATTGAGTTATTTTACATTATCACGGTTCACAGAAAAATGCGCAAACAGAAAACTGCGCAACGGAAAACTGCGCGTATAAAAATACTACTTATACTAATACACTTTAAGTGTGTCATATTTCGTGGAAAAGTATTTTATTGTTGTACAATTTACATGTGGTCATTCTTTGTTAATGTCTATAAATGCTCGATTTAAGAAAACAAAAATGCTTTTCCGCACTTTTTTTGCGCAGTTTTCCTTTGCGCATCTTTCCTGCCACCGTGACTTTTTATCATACATATTTATTTTTCAATGGACACCAGCGAGAAAAGTCTCAAAGGTATTTGAGAGGTGTATAAATTAATTTAAAAATCTTGCACAGCGTAGTTACAATTAATATGGTTATAAAATCCTGTATGTCTGGTTTTTTTCGGACTTTACTAAAGATTGGATGTATTTGATGTTTATAATATTTTCGGTAACTAAATAAAAATTTAAAAAAAGCAAAAACAATTTGGTTTTCACGTGTAATGGCGACATAAACAATGGCATCCTGCTATTGGATAGGCAGCCATTGATTTTATTGTACACATTGTAAGCTAAAAATAGAAAACTAGGTCATGGGGTTTTAAATTTGCATTGTTATTTAAAAACTTGATCTGCAAAGTTTTGTAAACAAATAGTTATCGATCACTAAGTTACTGTACAGCCAATCAATATTTGTCTTACGAAAGTGAAACATCCGGTTATAACTTAGGCTTGATGAAAATAAATAGAAATGTAGCCTTAAACTCAACAAATTATTTTCAAGTTCTCTGGATTTGCAACTTTTATAGCATTTATTCTAAAAATATAAAATTTCTAAATTAATTTTAGGCTTAAGTTTTTATTTTTTATTTTTTTTTACGGTCTAAATCTAAAAAGGACGTTTTTATTCCATGTCAACAACATTATGGAAGGAATCTCGTCAACTCGCTCGCCTCCATTAGTATCAATTATTTTATAAACATTTGTTATATACATTTTTTATCGAATCATTTTTTTTTTGTCACCAGATAAATGCCAATCAGATTGTCAGCTAGATCCCATATGGGATAGCTCATTAGCCTTCGACGAGGAGGACGAGGTCGCCTATCCCATGCCTAACAACGCGAGAGGGTACTACGTCTGTGTGGATGGAAGGTCCCACCCAAGGTGCTGCCCACGTCACTTCCGGTTTGTGTCTGGCATCGGCTGCACCATTAGCCTGGGGACGTCTGAGAGCTGTGGGGGACGGGACGTCTGCACTGACGGTGTGGGTAGGTGACGTCAGGGTGGTGTGTGTGGGTTAGTGTGTGTATGTGTGTGGGGGTTAGTGTGTGTATGTGTGTGTGTGGGTTAGTGTGGGTTAGTGTGTGTCTGTGTGTAGGTTAGTGTGGGTTAGTGTGTATGTGTGTGTGTTAGTGTGTGTATGTGTGTGTGTGTGTGGGTTAGTGTGTGTATGTGTGTGTGTGGGTTAGTGTGTGTATGTGTGCGTGAATGTGGGTATATACGCATTTAGTTGTGTGTTCTTGTATAGTGGCGATTGTGTGTATGTGTGAGTGTGCTTAAAGGTGTGTTCTGTGAGTGGGTTTTTTAATATTTTATTTTGTACGTGTAAATGTGTGTTAATTCACTTGGTATGTTCATCTGGTGTATCGTTATGTTTGTTTATCTTTCCGTATACATACCTGAGCATGATTGTGTGTATATGTTGGGACGTAGGTTTTGTTTTGTTTTGTTTTTGAGGAGTGAGAATGTATGTGGTTGTGTCCATAGACTCCATACATTCATATTTGCAAGAGTCATCTTAGCAAGTGTATATTTCTTTTATCTTTCTCAAGGATATACATAGTAATTGCTATGCTTTTTAAATAAAAATATATTTTAACTCTTCCATAATTACGATAGAGAATTATGTCTACAACAACTAACCCACCTCCTTAAACTACTCTACATGACAATCGATGACTTTTAATGAATTGACTGACGCCCAAATGTTTATCTGTAGGTTATTGTGAGGAAGCGCCAGTATGGGGGTCCCCTAGGTCGTATGGTAATCTGAAGGGATTAATGTCCGGCTACATGACTTCCTGTCTGTATGCAGACTTTGATGTTGTCGAGTGTAGGTGTCAGGTGACATCGTTGGATGACAAAAGTAGGTGTCACCATTGAACTACCACTAATTCACAATAGTAGGATCAATATATCATCATTTTAGTACCATTATAACTATCTTAGTACTACTATATCGCCATTTTAGTGCAACTATATCGCCATTTTATTGCAACCATATCGCCATTTTATTGCAACCATATCGCCATTTTAGTGCAACCATATCATCATTTTATTACCATTATAACTATTTTAGTGCAACTATATCACCATTTTAGTGTCACAATATCACCATACTAATGCAACTAAATCACCATCTTAGTGCAACTATATCACCATTTTATTACCATTATAACTATTTTAGTGCAACTATATCACCATTTTAGTGTCACAATATCACCATACTAATGCAACTAAATCACCATCTTAGTGCAACTATATCACCATTTTATTACCATTATAACTATTTTAGTGCAACTATATCACCATTTTAGTGTAACTATATCACTATTTTAGTGTTACCATTTTAGTGTAACTATATCACTATTTTAGTGCAACTATATCAACATTTTAGTCCCATTTTATCACTATGTTAGTGCCACAGTATCACCATTTCAATGCCACTATCACTATTTTAGAGCAACTATATCACCATTAGAGCAACTATATCACCATTTTAGTCCCATTTTATCACTATGTTAGTGCCACAGTATCACCATTTCAATGCCACTATCACTATTTTAGAGCAACTATATCACCATTAGAGCAACTATATCACCATTTTAGTCCCATTTTATCACCATGTTAGTGCCCCTATATCACCATTTTAATGCCACTATCGCTATTTTAGTGTCACTATTACCAGTTAGTCCCACCATATCACCATTTCAGTTCCAATATATCACCATTCTAGTGCCACTATATCACCATTTTAACACCATTGTATCACCATTTCAGTTCCACCACAGCAGCGTAGCGAGGGGGGCGGGGGGGGGGGGGGACATATGTCCCCGGACGCCGACCTTAAGGGCCGCCAAAATGGGTTGGAAAAATAAATTGAAAGGTTGAGGGGGGTGCAAATCGAAAGTTTGAGGGGGGAGGGGTGCAAATCGAAATCTCGAGGGTGGTGCAAATCGAAAAGTTTGTCCCCGGGCGCGGGTAGGGTCGCTACGCCTCTGTTCCACCATATTACCATTTTGGTGCCACTATATCACAATTTAAATACCACTATGTGATCATAACTAACAACAGTATTCTATTACCACTGTATCTCCAGTGCACTACCATTGTATCACCATCGTATTCTCACTATATTAGTATCATAACTGTAAAACAATTCCATCATATCTATAAATATAACTTAATGTAGCACCATTGTACATCTACTGTATCTGAAATATACCACTATACATCACCTATGTATCCCATTTTCATTAGCACTGTATCACCATTAAATCACCTCCAGTCTACTACTGTATCCTAATTTTATCATTATAATACCCCCATCTATCCCGGCTTTTAGAGTTTTCAACAGGAAACTTTTTAATCGTCTGAAGTTTTATAATTCATATTAACTAATTGAAATGCTAATGAAATAATGATAATTGAAATATTGTTCTTGTTTTGTTTTTGTTTTGTTTTCTTGTTGTTGTTTTTTTTAGAAGAGTGTGCGCCATATTTTGAACACAACGCAACACTGACGTCATCCAATAATACAATACTGATACCAGATGTACAACGTTCTGATGAAGATGTCAACACACTTAAATTTAGGTGAGTCTTGCCGGGGTTCGATCCAGCGACCTCTTGCTATGGTCATGTAAAAATTAACTCCGACAACGTTAATCCTGCCAGCCTGTTTAACCAGTCTCAACCCCATCCCCCCACCCCACAGGTTGTCAATGACGTCACCGGGCTTCCAGATTCTTCTGTCACGTGATCCGGATTGTCGGAAATCTACCGGGCTCAATATGTGGGCAGACGAACTAGGGCTGTATGCAGCAGTCTACTACAAGGACCCCCGACAACAAGACCCTATTGTCGCTTCTCTACCGCTGACAGTAGGTTCATCAACATTGTTTTTATTTCAATATTAGGTCCATGTATATAGTACCCTTCCGGAACACCATGTTACAGATGAAGTAGAGTATATGTTTCTCTTAGGAAAGGATATTTACTTTTCCTGATTTTATTCGTGTATGTGTCAGCTCTATCAGTCGAATATGCCGTACCTCTGTATTATAATGTATCAGAAGTTTTTTTTTTATATTTTCTTCTTCTTCTTCGTTCTTAATTTTACTGTTGGACTTAACAAAATTAAGGATACGAGTCAACTGGTTATGCGCCATTTAAGCCATTGACTCCGATTTTTGCCTGCTTTTCTTTTTAGATTTGCTTCCATAACCTTTGTCCAACTAAGAACAAACTTCAAGGCAGCAGTTGTTTGATTTTGGAGTTGTCTCTCCTATAATAGTTGCTGTCCCCAGCTATTGAGCCTCATCTGCCCGAGGGTTCGATTTCGAGACGTTTCGGTTTAGAAACCATAAGCTTTACCGAATCAACCCCTTATTTGTTAAATAATAGTCACATTTTAGTACGAGTAGAAAGTTATTCCTAGAAATTATAATTCGCTTACAAATTGATGTTTTATATTTTCTCAAAATTCCGTTATATTTCACACTTTTTCTGTTCCTAAGTATTATAATTCCCAATACTTGATACGGTTTTATATTTCAAAAAATATAATTCCATATATGGTTTAAACCCTAAATTCATTAAAATTACAATTCCCAAAATAGTAGCCTGCAAATTCCTATCTGGCTTATCAGCCTAAATTTGGTCTAGATAAACTATGATAAAAGTAAAAAAGCGTTGGATATTTAGACTTTATGTAGGCCAAACTTTATGGAAAAAAGACGCTTAGTTTCATAAGTAAAGTTCCCTTTTTAAACCTGACGGTCTATGGGGCAAGTGAAGTAGAGTTCACCTGTTTCTTTGACCTCGGCATATGAAGGGACAATGTAGTCAGCACTATGTCCAGCCGCCTTAAGTTACCCTAACGTGAGCTAGGTACTCCATCAGAGCTGGGTGGACCCAGGAACGGTCTAGTTACTTGAACCCGGATTCGAAATCGAGACTTACAGGTTAGCAGTCCAGCTCTCTACCGTTAGGCCACTCTGTCCATTAGTTTCATAAATCCTCTCTTTATTTTCCTCTAATTCTATCATCAATTTTTATTTGATATTTACAATGAATTTGAATAGTACGCCCTACTTGTTATGTCATGTCTTCACAGAATTTGACTGGAGAATTTGAAGTTCTAGTGATGCATCATGGGAGGTCATTGACCCTCAGTGTTGTCCAAGACACGTATCAGACGGTGACCACGGTAAAAGGTAAGGAACCTGCAGCATTTCAGTTGAGGGGGTGGGGTGGAGGTGGGGGTGGTTGAGGGGGTGGGGTCGGGTGGTGGTGAGAGGGCAAAATAAAAAAATTTTAAAATTACGTCACGCTTTTTTTGTGACGATTTTTACCTTCCCTTCCTTCTCCCCTCCGTCACGCATCGTCACAAAAATACCAGATCCCGCCCCTAAAAATGACGTCACGCCTCAGCCTATAACCCAACCCCCCCCCCCCCCCCCACCCTTTTTGGAAATTGAACTTGCATTTTTTAATACATTGATTTTATTTATTTGTTTCTAAAATCAATTTCTAGTACATGTTATTAAAACAGTTTTCTTAAAATCAAAATAGCGGATAAAATTCGTTTTAAGGCGAGATGTCACACTATCTGAGCCCCCCCCCCCCTCCCCCTCATCACACACAGTCAAAAAATTACGGCTCCCCCTCCCCATACACGCGTGACATCATTTATGAACAACACCCTTATTATAAGTATGATTTTTTTAACAAATGTATCTAGTAGGCTACATTTAAAAGAAAAAGATGGTGATATGTCTATGAGATTTTGATTTCGCTCGCCTAGAAATACCAGACTAAGAAAGGTTAATTTTGGTAAACCCCCTACCGACCTCGTGTCCTGAGTAATGCCTGTTGATTTCTATTTGAAACCCCTCAAGGGATAACGCCATAAGCGGACGACCACGACCCCCACACTTTTGATTCACCGCCACTGTGAAGATAGCAGATGTTAACATCAACAACTGAATAGATGGGCAGCTTGATAGACCTTAACATTAATGCATAACATTAACATAGCACCACATATTAAACAGCATTGTTATTGTTATTTTTAAAAATGTAGGCCGATCTACATTTATACACATTAAATAAATACTTAAGAAAATAGTAAAATAAATAACATGCTTCTACTACTACGCCATATGGTGTAGAACTAGTAGGCTGAAGTATTTTAAAAAAAAAAAATTTGCTGAATCTCAATGCGAATAATATTAATCTAATTGATTTTTTTTGTCAACATAGTGTGTGTATAGAAAGGAGCAATCGCACTAATTTCTAACGGTTCTATGGTGTAGCGGTTATCACGTCTGCTTTACACGCAGAAGGTCGCGAGTTCGAGCCTCGCTAGAACCTACTTTTAGTTTTTTCATTTTATTCATCGGACCTTTTTTGTATCAGCACTAATTATAGACTATTAAATAATTTCATACTCTTGAGGTCTTATTTTATATTTGCAAGCTTCTAAATACTGAACTAGAACCTTTCGATAGCCTACAATCTCCAAGTAAGGTTGTTCGAGTAAAATTTCCTTCTAAGAAAATCCATAATTTTTCACCGTTGTAAATGTCGACATTTGTTTTTAGTTCCTCATCTCAAGATGTGTCGGAGCTGTTTGGAAAAGGTCACGCTGACGTCACAAGAAGATAATGTTGCCATCAGAAAGGTAAAAACCCACGTACGTTCACATAGTGTTATGTGTTAGATTCCACAGGTAAAAAAAAATCACAGGTGGGGGGGGGGGGGGTATAAGAGTATATCTCTGGGGGTTTGATGGACAGAATATCATCGATTCATAGGGCATGTCATGTGGGGATGAGAAGAGATTTTTTTCAGGCATCTCTTTGATGGAGGGGGCATAACATCATCCCCCCCACCCCCACTTTCCATCCCCAAAAATGAAAAAAAAAACGGATAATGTATATAGAAAAAAAAAACTTTTCCAGTGCCCCCCCCCTACCCCGGAAATTTAAGTGCGATTTTTTATTGTATGGTTTTGATATAAAATCGAATTTCATGAAGAATAAATCAAAGTTGATTTTTATTTTTATTTTCAGGTTCAGCTGTATAATTGTAAACTTCCAGTTATTTCAATCAACACAAAGAAAGATAACTGAATATAAATACGTATTACAAGATCTTAACATTTGCTTCCCCTTTTTTATTGTCTTTTTAATATTGTTATTGTATTAGATTAAACATTACTGTTCTGGTGATTTGTTTCATCCAATTGCGGTGTGAGGTTATCATCCTTTGTTAAAGAATCAGCTACTGCCATATGAGGATAATCTTTTGCGGTATTTGGAACGTCACAATAAACATGGATGGGGGGGGGGGGGGGAGTTCATGAAGGCTTTCTTAAAAGAAGACTGGAAAATTATGACATTTTTTTTTTTTTAAATTAATAACTTTCAAACGGATTGTGTAGAAACCAAATGGGAAAAAGAAGTCAACACGAGTTGGGATTCCTGTGTAACCACTGTTTCTTTCAGGCATTTCATCAGGGAGGGAGGGGTGCGGTGTCCTCCCCCACCACGAAGCACGTCTACCGTCCTTCCCCCACTACTCGGAAAATTTAGTTTCCCCGCCCCCCGGTTAGTTTCAAGTACCCCCCCCCCCCTCCCCCCAGAGAAAAAAGTCTGACAGAAACGCTGTGTGTAATAAATACACTCACATCTGATGGGTAGCTTTTCGCGAAGAAATGCCTCTATTCAGTTCAGGATTCTTAATGGGCGATAATCAGTGGCTCGCTACTCCACGCCGCCGGTGTCAGATCCAATAGGTGATCTGGGCGGTTACGCCCCTTTGTTACCTGGCCAACGTTTTCGCTATTGATGACAGGGATGGCTGTCTTGGGCGCCCCGCGATCCGCCTGACCGGTGGGTCGCCATTCAAATGACCAGTCCAGTAAGTGTCATGGGCGGTTCCAGCCCCTTTGTTACATAGAGTTAGTCTGACCAACGTTTCGGTTGGAGCGGTGGGTCGCTATTCAAGTGGCAGATCCACTAAATGGTTTGGCCACACCCAGGGAAATGTAAGAGCTAACGGCAACTGTAGATCAAAACCCCCGGGTGCGTGTGGTAACCCGCCCCTTTTATAGCCCTAACCATTGCTCGTAACTACCCCTAGTTACATATATATATATATATATATATATATATATATATATATATATATATATATATATATATATATATATATATATATATATATATATATATATATATATATGTATGTGTATTTGCATGTGCATGTGCATGTGCATGTACATGTACATGTACGTGTATGTGTATGTGTATGTGTATGTGTATGTGTATGTGTATGTGTATGTGTGTGTGTATGTGTATGTGTATGTGTATGTATATATGTATGTATATATATATATATATATATATATATATATATATATATATATATATATATATATATATATATATATATATATATATATATAGGCCTATATATATATATATATATATATATATATATATATATATTATATATGCATATGATATATATATGATATATATATATATATATATATATATATATATATATATATATATATATATATATATATATATATATATATTATATGCATATGATAAGGGACCCCACCCCCAAAATATTACGCCAGTGTTCCCGCACAAGTTTAATCTGCTCCTGACACCCACACATCCCACACTTCTACCCACACGCTGTTGAGAAAGCGGATGTAGACAATCCACAAGACAGTGATAGTGTTAAAGACGTACGCATTGATGCAAAACCTACCAACATAATTTAACAGCTGTTACGTAGGAATTTAACATATTGTATCCACATCCAAATCTATAGTAACTCAAACATAAAATAAATAGCAGGAACCTACGCCATATGGTGGACATAATCGAATTGATTTTCCGGTATTTTATCTGAATGTATGAATGTATTCGCTTCAACTGTAACGGTTCTATGGTGTAGCGGTTATCACGTCTGCTTTACACGCAGAAGGTCGCGAGTTCGAGCCTCGCTAGAACCTTTTTTTTTTAGCAAACTATTTTAAGCGCTGTCAAATTGATTAGTCAGTAAATTATTAAACAGCTGAAGTAGTTCATTTTAATTGTATATGCTCCTCTTCCAACTTAATCCAAACGATGACGTGGGCTTAGTTTGTTTTAAAATAACACACTAACACACACCCTTAATGGAACTCATTACGTACCAAAAATCAGCTGTGGTGCTTGAACTTGAACATAATAAAATTTATATACATATTCCGAATTAATTATAATTTATATAGATATCTGCATAATAAAAATCACTGATGGAATTTCACCAACCTCTTGGCATTGAATTGTGGTTGAATAGGAAAAACAAATCACCCCTGACTTTCAAGATAATGAACCAGATTGTTACTAGTTTTTTCCTTCCCATGGTTGGTACGGGGCATAGGCTCGACGCTCGTTGGTGTTGCGTCTGAACAAAGAGAGATGGGATATGGAGGGTCGTCCATAAATGACGTCACATTCGTAGTGGGGGAGGAGGGTCTGTATTTTGTGACGGTGTGTGATGAAGGGGAAGTGTGTGTGTGGGGGGGGGGGGTCAGATGGTGTGACATTACACTATTGCATTATAAAAAAGCAGAATGAAAGAGGCGGTTGACCTTAAGCTAAGAGAGGAACAAGCAGGATTCAGGAAGGAAAGATCTTGTACAGATCAGATAGCCACTCTTAGAATTATTGTAGAACAGACGATAGAATGGCAGGCCCCGCTTTACATCTGCTTTGTTGACTTTGAGAAGGCCTTTGATAGTGTGGATAGGCAAACAATATGGAATCTGTTGAGACACTATGGTGTACCTGCTAAGTTAGTGGAAATAATCCAGCAACTTTACAATGGATTTTCATGCCAAGTTAGCCATGCAGGGAAACTGTCTAAAGAGTTCCAGGTCAACACAGGTGTGAGACAAGGATGTCTGCTGTCGCCCCTCCTCTTCTTGGTAGTTCTCGACTGGGTGACACGCACAGCCTATGCCAGTTCTGGAAAAGGTATTCAGTGGACACTCACGGTGAAACTAGAAGATCTGGAGTTTGCAGATGATCTTGCCTTACTCTCGCACAGGCTACAGGACATGCAAGAAAAAGTTGATGCATTAGGAGCCATCTCGCAGCGCGTAGGTCTGAAGATCAACAAAGAAAAGACGGAAATGATGAGAATTAACAATAAACAGGAGGCTCCAGTGTCAATAGACGGAAGACAGGTAAATGATGTGCAAGAGTTTGTCTACCTTGGCAGCAAGATCAGCAAAACGGGAGGCACAGAGGAGGACATACGCGCTAGAGTTAATAAAGCCCGCTGCGCTTTCACAGTCCTGCGACCCATATGGAAAAGTTCGGCCATCTCCATTACCACAAAAATTAGGATATTTAACTCTAATGTCAAGGCAGTTCTGCTGTATGGAGCAGAGACATGGAGAGTCTCCAAGGCAAGCACAGCAAAGATACAGACCTTCATGAATAGATGCCTTAGACAGATACTGAAACTGAGATGGCAGGACAAAGTGCCGAACTTGGAACTATGGAGGAAAGCTAGGCAGGAGCCTATATGTGTGCAAATAAGAAGGAGGAAGTGGCGCTGGGTGGGTCACACACTGCGAAAGGCTCACACAAATGTTACACGCCAAGCGCTTGAGTGGAACCCCCAGGGAAAGCGGAAGAGAGGGCGCCCAAGACAGACCTGGAGGCGGAGTCTTCTTGAAGAACTGAAGCCAATAGGGATGTCTTGGGAGATGTCAAAATTAATAGCCGAGGATAGGAAGAAATGGAAGGAAATGGTGGAGGCCCTATGCTCCATAAGGAGCAAAGAGGACTAAGTCAAAGTCAAGTCAAAAGTCATTATAAAAAAGCAATGTTAGAAAACGAATCTTAGCGGTTGTTTCGCGCTTTAGAACTCTTTTAATAAACTGTAATAGAAATTGATTAAAATACTGTATGTTGACAGAGTTCAGGTGAGATTTTGGAAAAATATCGATGTTTTAAGAAATATTCAACTGCAATTTCGAGTGCGGGGGGGGGGGGGGGGGGTGTAGGTTGAGGTGTGACGTCATGTTAAGGGTAGTCTTGCTTTTTGTGACGAGGAATGACGGAGGGGAAGTGAAAAACAAAGTCATTTATGGATGATCCCTATGACAAACTGTAAAATATTAACACAAAAACAAAGCCCAGTTTATGGACTGCAGTAGTTAGTGGTATCAAAGGTATCGACAGGTGGTAGATCTAGTCGCGCAGCTGGGTGGTGAAAAAAAAACAGATCTAGGGTTTATACCTCACCTACTAACCCAGGACAAGACTTGGTTTGGTGACGTTAAGTGGTGTGGGACAGAGGCGTAGCTAGGGAGGGGGGGGGGGGCGGAGCGCACCGGGTGACACCATTTAGGGGGTGCAAATCGAAAGTTCGAGGGGGGTGCAAATCGAAAGTTTGAAGGGGGGGGTGGTGCAAATCGAAAGTTTGAGGGGGGGGGGGTGCAAATAAAAAAATTGAGGGGTGGGGGTGCAAACCGAAAATTTGAAAGTTGGTCCCCGGGAAGGGTCGCTACGCCTATTTGGGAGGGGGGGGGGTGACACCATTAAGTGCCGCACCGGGTGACACCCGACCTCGCTACGCCACTGGTGTGGGAACGAGGAACAAAGACAACACATTAAAAATAAATGAATAAATAAATAAATAAAAGTCAGAATATGTTGGTACTAGCACCCAAAACGATGATGCCAGTAGAAAATGTATTAATTTACAGAAATAGCATGGCAAAGGCATCAATGACTCGCTTGGCACGGTCTAGCTGATGTAGAAAGACTTGCAAGTAATGGCCGATCTTCCTCGAGGTAAGGGGTTCCCAACCCTGTGCCTGTCGAAAACAGTAGATGACGAGGCCATCAGCATAGAGGCTAGCGTGGCATCCAGAGACGATATCATTGATATAAAGGTTAAACAAAGCACCTGAAAGTGGTGAACCTTGTGGCACACCAAGAGGGATGTCACTTCTCTTGGAGAAGGCAGAATTGAACTTGCTCCAAACGTGGTAACCAATTAAAAATGTAATTATAAATTACAGAAACAGTCGGGTGAATTAAAAATGTAATTATAAATTACAGAAACAGTCGGGCGAATTAGACCTT